AAAAATAATTCCACACTTTATTTAAGTTGAATTCACCATCTAAAAAAAATAAAAAATAAGTTAATCATTGCAATTACTATATATTAATAGGAATGTGATCATAAATGATATCCACCATGCTTTGAGGAACATACTCTAGGAGAATGTTATTACACCATTTGTCATTCTTAATGAAGACACCCGAAATGAGGATGTAGAATGAGTGTTGAAGTGAGAGTCAAGAGATCTAACATTAGACCAATCATCCTACCACAAATATGAGGAATCGTTCCAAATCCCCCATTAAATAGTTGATTCGCCAAGCCATTTTGTATTACATGTCCTTCTCCAACCAGGAGATTGACCTTGGTTGAAAAAAATAATGGGTAGGATGCTAATTATTACAATATCTTTTTCATGTATTTTTAATTTAGAAATAAGGGAATCATTGATCCTAAATTTTCATAATAATTTGTAAGAAATTATGGTTCGACAAGATGAATCTAATGAGCCTAAGTTTGCAAAGATTTGAAATCATTAAGACACTCAAATGCTTGATAATTAAATGATCCAAGCTTGAGCGAGTTGATATTGGCTTTCCATTGAAATACTCCCAATGTGTCCTTGATCTTCTCACTATTTACTAGTTTTGTCACACGAAAAAAATACTATAAATAGTCCCCTCATTCTTCACAAAAGGGGGAGAAATATATGAAAAATAAAGGATCTCTCTTGCTTTCTCAAGCTAGCACCGCCCGACCGCCTATCAAATATATATATCAAACAGGTTAAGGCTAATTAAGGCAAATTCACACATATATAAAAATACACAACCTTAACTCAAAAATTCTAACCAACATATTAAGAAAGGTACGTCACTTTTTTTGCTTCATTCTCTCCACTTTCACCGTATTCTGCTTAGGATGTCCATCAACTCTCGTGGATGAATTTTTATTGTATTTCATCTATTCTTTCATTGATCTATATTTTTTTTTTATTAGATCTATAATTTTTTTGATATGAAGGTTATATATATATATATATATAATATATATATATATATATATATATATATATATATATATATATATATATATATATATATATAATTTTACTATTAATAAGATTTGTAATCAAACTTTATGCCAAAAAGTTCAACGACCTCATCCACTAATTAGCCAACAAATACAATGCTATTATGCCAAAGTTGCAAAGGGGGGAAGTCTACAATTGAGAAGTTAATTGAACATACAAAAAATACATGACAGAGAAAGTATTACTTTTGTGTGTGATAGATAGACTAACCCTCAAAGAAGACAAAATATCAATTATATGATTGTATCACTTTTCTACCCAATCCTCTTTAAGGTATTAGTTCTTTATTTTTAACTTAATTAATTAAGTGATAATGTTCCAATTTGTAAGGCATCATGTTAGCATTTTGGCAAATATTTCCTAAAATTATTGGACAATATGTATTATGCATATTCTCAACCATACTTTTAAGAACATCAGTGCTACAAAAAATGTTGAGTCTAATAAGATTACTTATAATGAATATTTTTGAATCACAATTGTTGCTAAAGATGATACTTTGATCAAAATTTTTATTGTAAATCATTTTGTAAAGAATTTTATTTTCTATTATTTCTCAATATTAAAAATGCTTATTATTGGTGATACTCATTTTGCTTCAGTTGTTGTAATATCGAGAAAAATAAACAATTAAAAAATATAGTTCATGTGATGAAAATGAGTGAAAAATGATTATGTTATGGCAAGGATGATATTGGAAAGGCAATATTTGTGACTTGTTGATTTGTGATAAGATATTGATGGTTATATTCTATCATATGTTGTTCCTATTTATAACATGTTCAAAATTGAGGATACAAAGTAGTCATACTTTATTTGATTTATGAGATGTGGGTATCTAAAGTGAAGGAAGCAATATGTTGACAAGAAATGTTGTCAAATAATAAAGATTCAAGTTTTTATTAGAGCATTTTCATGCTATTTTGGAGAATAAGTGGAGCAAAAGTAATACAACTCTATATTGTTTAGCTCATTATTTAAATCAAAGGTTAGTTACTTCTTATTTGTAATATAAATATTAATTAATTAATTTTATTTTTTTAAAAGATAATAAAAAAAAAAGATTGACTTCCAGAGAATTCTCAACATATTTCTCTTTAAAAAGATATAGAAATTTCATATTTTCAGACAAATGATTAGTATGGAGTTGTCTAAATTCCTTAGATATATGGAGAAATTTATAGATAAAGAATCTTTATGTGATTAATTAATTCAAGAACAATTCAATATCAGTTTTAGCAAATATATAGTCAAATTGAACGTTTAAAAAAGACGAACTCAACGACACCTAAATTGGTCCAATCCAAACCCAAATGGATCCAAATCGAGGACCCAATTAAAACCTATTTAAAAGCTTCAGAACATTAATTAGATGATCAAATGTGACATGCTTATAGTCAAATCAAGTGGCTCGACGAGAAGAACCTAACGAGCCTAAGATTGTCAAAAATTGAAATCATTAAGAGACTCAAATGCTCAATAAATGATCCAAGATTGAGAAAGTTGATATCAGTCGTCCATTGAAATACTCTCAACATGTCGTTGATCTTCTCCCTATTTACTAGTTATGCCACTCCAAAAAATACTATAAATAGACCCATCATTCATCACAAAAAGGGGAGGAAAATATGAAAAATAAAGGAGCTCTCTTAATTTCTCAAGCTTGCACCGCCTGACCACTGTACCAATCATCGTCGGACTTCCACCTGTCTGCCGACTACCGCTGGACTTCCTTCTGACCACCGTCGCTCTACTACGATCCTTTTGAGCACTATCATTAGATATAAGGATGTGAATCACAATATTTGTTATCATTAAAAATATAAACTTATGAGCTCGAGTTGCAGTAGACTATAATCCTACTAACGCCCAAACAAACATGTTAACACTCTTTTAAAAACAAATTCTATGTAATGAGCTATATAAAATGAGTATTTGCTACATTAAGCTAGCACTCTCCTCCAAAGAGGGATATTATTTGTAATCAATCATCAAAACTAGTGGAATCATTCAAACTTGACTTTGCACTATGATTTTTTTCTTTTTTTCAGGATTTTCCACGTAAAAATTTTGGTCTCTTATTACTTTCGCATCCCTTTTTCTTTTATTTGTTTGAATGTTGAAATATCATTCAAAGTTAGGCTGCAAAGCTCTTTATCTTACACAACAATATTCAATATCCATAATGTGTCATATTAAAATCTTCACAGATCTCTCATAGTGCCATTTTTCTCTTTTTCATTTTTTTTTTTAAGATTTTTGAGTAAAAATAAATAAATTCATACATAAATCATATACGCAAGTACTCAGCCAATTCATTAAGGTGAGCTGCACGTAGTGTCAAAACCAGAGGCGAATCATGACGCATCATGTCACTTTTTAACTGTGTACCTGTGTTATGTATCGCTATGTACCGGATAATATGACGCATTCTGATTCGCCTCCAAACCGTCTCATAACTTCACAAAATAGTTTCTCCAAAATCAGATATTGAATTCAGCCTACAAACTTCGGAATTTAACAAATTGGTCCAAATCATTTCAGGACCACACACGTGAAAGTCGTTGGAGGCTTCTTCTTCCTTATCCACACACACCCTTCTCTCTCTCTCTCTCTGTACGATTTTTTCCCAATGAGGCAATGACAACCAACCTTCTCGTAGCACTCCGGTCTAGATAAACCGTTCCTTTTGCACTAATTTCAAAGAAATAAAAATCTTCCATCACTCCTTTGCCGACAACAACATATAATTATAAAAATATCTACCTAACCACCAATAACATACGGCCACGCGTATAATAAGTTTATTATTAAAAATATAAATTACTGACACATTTGAACTTTGAAATTATAATATTTTACACTATATCTTAGAAAGCTTAAACTAACGTATACTAATTACAGAAATTAAATAAATCTTAAATATATATAATGATGAGTTTATTATTCTAAAAAATAAAGGACTAATATAGTAAAAAATAAATCTAAATAATTATTTTTAAAGAATATTAAAGCAGTCTCTTAAAAATAAATAAAAACTTATTAATTTGTTTTATATTATTTTCTTAGCCTAACAAATGTTAGGTACATATTCGATGTTACAATTTTTATATAATGTATGTCATACATTATTAATATGAGATACTATATATTTTAATATTGTATCGGTGCATCATAGATTAAGGATACATTTGGGAGAGGCTCTTATCATTTCTTAAAATAATTTTTTAGTATAAAAATTAAAATTTGTGTACTAAGCTATTTTAAAAAGTATTAAGAAAACAGTCCCAAACTAATGCGACCTGATTTTTTACTATTTCTTAAAGTATCTTTCTAGCATAAAAATTAAAGTTTTTATATTAAAAAGATACTTTAAAAAGCAATAAGAAAGCTGTCTCAAACGAAGCCTAAGCCTTAGGCTTCGTTTGGGACGGCTTTCTTAAATCTTCTCATACCAATTTTTAAGTACAAAAATTTTCTTTTTTTTACTAGAAAGCTGCTCTAACAAGCAACAAAAAGCTGTCCCAAATGAAGCCTAAGGTTTTGCTTGGGACGACTTTCTTGTGGCTTGTTAAAATAACTTTCTAGTAAAAAAATAAAAAAACCACCGCATTTTTTATTTTTAAGATATTTTTGTACTTAAAAACAAAGCTTTACAAAGCAATAAGAAATCAGTCCCAAACGAATTTTTGTTTGGAAAATATTTTTTAAACAACTTTTTAATACAAAAATTTATAATTCAAAATTTTTATATCAAAAGATTATTTTAGACAAAAATAAGAAATTTTCATCTATGAAACAAAACTGTATAACTAATTTTCATAGTATACCAACTTTGTAAAACAATTTTAATCCAAAAAATCTATAAAAATAATTTTAATCACAAGAAGGCCTCTTCAATTTCCTATATAAACACCGACTCCCCTTCATCTATCAAGTATTCCATTATACTTAATCAGTTGATCTCTCCTTTTAATTAGCAAAAATGGCAGAAGAGAAGCATCACCATCACCTCTTCCACCACCACAAGGAGGAAGAACAGCCTTCTGAAATCGACTATAAGAAAGAGGAGAAGCATCACAAGCACGAAGAGCACTCCGGCGAGCTCGGCGCCCTTGCCGCTGGTGCTTTTGCTCTGGTAAACATATATAAACTAATATAATTAATAATAATCATCCTTCAATCCTAAATCATCACTAATCACTATTCATGGCTCTGCAACTTCTTCTTCTTCTTCACTAATCACTATTCATGGCTCTGCAACTTCTTCTTCTTCTTCAATTAAATGATAATATGTTGAAATTTTGTAGAACAGATGAATTTTTTCTTAATGATCATGGAACATAAAGATGTTTTTCAAGATCTGCAACAGTTTTCTAATATCCTCTAACACAGAGTCTTACTATATTGTTCAGATGTTTTATAAATGCTATTAAAATCACCAAGAAAAAAAATCAGAATAAATTTTGTTGAAGTTTTTTGAGATGACTGTATTTATATAAAAATTAATAAGTCACATTATATTTATATTAAAATAAATTTAATTACTAAAAATTTTATTCTCTTCAAATTTAGATCAGAATATGCTGATCCAAAATTTCTTCTATAAGAAATAGTCTTTATTTAGAAGAAAGTGTTCAATAAATATTAAGTTCTACAAATCTTCAACACAATTTCAGATTTTTTTTTTCATTTACTCAATACAGTAAAATCGTCTATTACTGACAGTTTTGATCTATTTTCCATCGATTTACTGGAATAAACCACATAGGAAATGCAAACCGTCGGCCAATTTCCTACGGCAAAATTTTCCGGTGGCTCGAACAACCGAAAATTAATGAACTCAAAACAGCTGGAAAATTCCTATGCAAAAACCTCCGGAGACCGTGGGTATTTCCTGCAGCCAAACCGCCGGTTATTACCGGTCGCAAAACAAAAAAATCGGCGGCAACTTCATACCGTGCTGTATCGAAGTTTCCGGCGGTTAAACCACTGACTAGCCGCTTGAAACATGTAGCATTTGCAAAAAAAAATTGACAGTCCCCTTCTATTCACACAAATTTTCACAATTACCTGCAGAGAGTTCAAAACATATATAAGATACTTTTTATCATATACATCCACAATCCACTATCAAAAGAACAATTCTTCAACTGATCGCCGATATTCAACGAATTTTCTGTAGTGACTGTAACACAATTAATATAAATTCACTAACCATTAACTGACTCTATCTTACTTTTATTAATGTCTTCTGTAAAATATTTTGAAATGATCTCTCTTTTAATCAGTTTTACTTAATAATTTGATGTGATTAATACTGATTAATAATTTATAATAATTTTTTGGTAGCATGAGAAACACAAGGCAAAGAAAGATCCAGAGCACGCCCATAAGCACAAGATAGAGGAGGAAATAGCAGCAGCAGCTGCTGTTGGTGCTGGCGGCTTCGCCTTCCATGAGCATCATGAGAAGAAGGAAGCCAAAGAGGAGGAGAAGCATCATCACCACCACCTCTAAGGCTTCTGGCTTTATCTATCCATATATCTATTTCTATGTGACTGTATCACAATATATATCTATATACAAGTGCTGTATTTGGGCATGGTTTCCTTTGTAATGTGTTAAGAACCGTACTATCTATGCTGTTGTGCAGTATCTATTATGCTATACCTTTCTGCTCTTGTTTGAGACGACTTTCCTGAGTATTTCGTTGAGTTAGGACTCGGTGACCAGCTTCAAGCGAGTTCATTTTATGAGGTTCATGAAATATGAGTTCACTTGCTATTGCTGTGCAAACACAGCAGAAAGAATCCCACAATCACAGCACAATCAACATAAAGAATATGATGATTTACATGGTCCGGCAAAGATACTAATTACGTCCACGGGAGAGATTATTACGTGTGGTGTCCGGACTGTCCGAAGGCGAATCCGGACGCGCCACGTCACCCAAATACACTGGCCGGCCCCAGGTGACATGGCGCCTCCGAATTAGCCCTAGACTAATCCGGATGCCGCGCGTAATAATTTTCCTGTCCACGGGAATGGGATGATAATTTCACTATATTGAAGAAGAATAAGATTATAATTGCAAATTTTTCTGTCATGCATACCTCTACAACAGCCCTCAAATTCTTTTAAATAAATTTGAGATAAAACAAATAAGAAAGAACTTCCTAATCTAACTATCAATCAAATCCCTTAATTAGTCTAATAATCAACCTCTAATTAATATATTACTTAGCCATCATGACTTGTCAACTAAGTGGACAATATCTAAAAAGACATACATTATGCGGTTGGTGGGCGAGCACGATTGAGAACCAATTTGAATTATATAGTTGAAGCTTTCAACCAGCATATTAAATTGGTTCAAAAAAATTCATCGAGATTTAGAGTGGTTGGTGGGCGAGCACGATTGGGAACCAGTTTGAATACCCTCTACTACAACCTTACCTCTTCAGTGGGGCAAAGCAAGTATGGACTCAATGCTGGTGGGTGGCTTCGCTAGGTTCTGCCGCGGGATTAATTACGTCGCCAAATGCTTTCTTCAGAGTGGTAGCGGATAGATATCCATTTCAAGGAAAAAAAACATTAAAAAAGAAAAAGCACAAGTGAGCTGAGTATGATGCAACTTGTTTTACCTTTCATGTACAGTGTCACTGATTGATGTTGTTTTGGATCTGGCTTTCACTTGCCAGCCTTTAGTGGTTGTACTAATTATTAATTAAAATAATTGATTAACTTTGGTCCTTTAGAAATATCATGTCGACATATGGCTGATTCTTCTTGGCCTTGAAGTCTTTTTGGTGAGGTGTCTTTGTCTGCCATTAGTGCTTCCCCACTAATTTGATATGGGAAATCTGCCATTGTTTCCTTTTAGGTGCAGAAAGAAGTGGTAATTATTTCTTTGATCGGTTTGCTTTCAACTTTATGATTTATGGGATGAGGATTTCTGTTAAGGGAAAAAGTAAAGGAATATGAACGATATTGTATAGATAATTGTAATAACAAAGGATAACTCAGCAAAAGGTGATTCTAGCTTTTTAGGGGCCTTTATTAGTTCTCTCTACAGGATTAATCTCATAAATTATTGCTTACTTCAAATTAGTAACAAATTAAGTACAGCAATAGTCTAAGTGTTAAATATAAGATGTGAGACTTATTAGGTTTCATTTGGGACGGCTTTCTTACTGCTTCTTAAATCAATTTTCTAGTAAATAATAATAATTTTTATACTAAAAGTTGTTTTAAGAAGCAGTAAAAAACAGTCCTAAACGAAGCCTAAGAAAGCAATTTTTAGTTAAAAAATTAAAATTTTTATACTAGAAAACTACTTTAAGAAACAGTGAGAAAGCCGTACATATCTCGCTATTTAATTTGATGCATTATAACAAATCCATATAGTTTCATTAAATGATTTGCTAAGTGGTTATATTAAGTTTAGCATGTCATAGTAACTAGCAAAATAAGAAGCCATTTCATTGAGTTTGATTAGAAGTTTGACTACTTCGAGAAATATGAAATGTAAAGACTCTAAGACTTGTGATAAATTCTAGTGCTTGAGTCTAATTTTATTTTATTTATTTCATTTGAGTGGATTTTATCAAATATCAGTATTGTTGCGTACAGGAGTATTCGCGGCGGTAGAGAAATATTATATTTAACGTCTTAGCATTGTACGAAGATTTATATTAAGTTTAGCATGTCATAGTAACTAGCAAAATAAGAAGCCATTTCATTGAGTTTGATTAGAAGTTTGACTACTTCGAGAAATATGAAATGTGAAGACTCTAAGACTTGTGATAAATTCTAGTGCTTGAGTCTAATTTTATTTTATTTATTTAATTTGAGTGGATTTTATCAAATATCAGTATATATGATGAACATAATTAAAATATATATAAATTATATTTAAGAATATATTTGAATTTATTTATTTATTTTAGTTATTTATATTTACTATTTGCAAATATTATAATAAGCAGTAATCGTGTGAAAAAGAAAATCCATTTGCTTTTAATTTTATTTATAAAAATAACATAAAGGAATTCAGTAGTCTAAGGCTTCATTTGAGATAATTTTCTTACTACTTTATCTTTGTAAAGCATCCTTCCAATATTCTTTTATGACTTTCTAGTCTAAAAAATTACTTTATAAAATAGTAAGAAAGCTATCACAAATAAAACTTAAAAACTACTTTCTGAATATAGTGGCGTTAAGAATATTGTTAATGATAGAATCCGAATAAAAACATGCATCAGATCAGGCATTTGAATGAGAAATTTAATACAATTTGATATATAAATTTTATTGCGGCTCAAAATATTTAATTATAATAATATAAATTTTATTTATTTTATTCCTTCCACACTTTTATAAATTTTGAATTCAATTTTTCAGGGCATATTATTAATAGCACCGGAAAGCGTTGAGCTTGTTAAAGCCTATTAAAGCCTAAGGTAAGGCCAATAACATAATGTCAAAACCTATGGCTATTATTTTCAGCTTTTCTAATTCAAAATTTTACAATGAGCCTATTTGGGATAGTTTTATGACTGGTTTGTTTTTCATACTACAGTTTGATTAGTGTTGCGGGCTAGAATATACACGGCGTTAGAGTTTGTAAATTCGCGTTTAAACATTGTACGAATATTCAGCACACAAACAGAAAAAAGAATGAGCACCAGGATTTTTACGTGGAAAACCCGGAAGAGGGAAAAAACCACGGGGCCACGCCCAGTTGAAATAATTCAACTAGTGTTTGTTTGAAGCACAAAGACCGATTCGTCTCACAAGTTAAGACAATCAGTTTACAATCAACTTCTGACAAAGTTACAAAGTTCTGCAAAATCCCGGCGTTTCCCGAAAATCAGGCAGAGTTCCGGCGTATTCAGGCGGCGGGAAGAGCTCCGGCAGTGGTCGAGGAGGAGAGGATTCTCCCTTTCCCCTTTCTCTTCTTCTTCCCTTATTCTCTCTCTCCACTTGAGTCCTCTTGTGAAGAATGAGGGCTCTATTTATAATTTTTCTGGAGTGACATGGCTTGTAAATATGTGTGAGATCATGGGCGAATAGGGAGTAGTCGAATGGATGGCCGATATTGAACTCTTCTATCGTGCACAGTTCGTTGGACATTTAGAGGCCTTAGTGATGTCGGAATTCGGAAATCTTGGGCTCGTTGGATTCGTCTCGTCGAGACGTTCGATTTGAGTATAAGCTCGTTAAAATCGGAAACTGTTTGGTAACTCAAATTGTGGTTTTAACCATCAACAGCGCTTCGGGTCCTTGATTTGGACCCATTTAGGCTCGGATTCGGTTTAGTTTGGTGTCATTGGGTTCGAATTTCCGAGACGCTGAGTTTGACTATAAGTTTGCTGAAATCGGAGTTAAGGTGCTCCCGGATTTAATTTTTGAAGTTTCCGGGTTCGGTTTTGCCTCAAGATTCGTGCTTGATCAAGATAATTTTTTGAAAATGTATCAATTACTGCTTTTTTTTTATTGTTTTTTCACTATTTTCAGAATATTTTTCTCATGAAAAGTTATATTTTACAAACAGACCTACTAATGTGTGGGAGCTGTATCAAAATATATATTGTTTGATATTTTAGGCTTCATTTGGGGCGACTTTCTTATCACTTTTTAAAATAGTTTTTTAGTACAAAAAATTTAATTTTTGTACTAAAAAGATGCTTTACGAAGCAATAAGAAAGCCGTTCCAAATGAAATCTAAAAAAAAATCTTGATTTTGAAAATTTGAAAGCAGTTCTAAAAAATAGTACAAAAGCCATCGCAAACGATGCCTTAGTTCAACTCTAGAACTCCCAACTTTAACAAGAAGCCTTTCATCAATTAGGAAACTTAACTTATTTATAAGGCCTTAATGTTTGTCCAACCATAGATAAATCATTAATATTTATTATTATTTTTTTTTTGGGAAATCGAACCTTGTTATTCATTGCATAAACTTTCAGATTAATTTCATAAATGAACATTTTTGTTGTACTAATTTTAAAGCATATTTAATTCGATAATTATCAAATTCATCTCGATACAATTCGTATTAGAACATCTCAATATTTTTTTCTTATTCTAATAGAGTAGTAGCTTGTTTAATTTGTAGCAAAGATTCAAACCTAGCTAATTAATAAATTTCATACCCAACAAATTAAAGGTCATTTCTTCCTTATATTGCTGGAAATATCCTCACGTACGTAGGCTTCGTTTGAGACGGCTTTTTTATTGTATTATAAAACTATTTTTTAGCATAAAATTTTTTTGAAAGCTGAAAAAAACCAGTAGTCTAAGGTTTCGTTTAGGACGACTTTCTTATTGATTTTAAAAGTAATTTTTTAGTATAAAAATTTTTCAAATTAAAAAAATTTGTACTAAAAATTATTTTAAAAAATAGTAAAAAAGCCGGCCTAAAGCTATCCTAAATAAAGCTTAAATAAGTTCAAACAACATAAAAATAATAGACAATCTAAAACCTTTACTTGGCCAATCCACCAACCAATCAGAAGTTCATAACTATATTTCATATAAACTTAAAAAGAATATTATTCTTTTGTTTTTTTGTCAGGAAAGTCTCAGTATTATTCCACGCAAAGTTATTCTTTCTTATCAAGATTGAACACGACCCACCTGCACCTATATAAACACCGATTAGCCTTCGTTACGCAGTAGCAAACCACCTCTACCTTCAATCAGTAGTTCTTACTTAAGCTCTGCCAACAAATGGCTCAGTTCTTTCGCCACCATGAGGAGAGCGAAGCGACATGGGAGGTCGACTACAACAAGGAAGAGAAGCGTCACAGGCAAAGAGAAGAGCTTGCAGAGCTCGGCACCTTAGCCTCCGGTGCTTTTGCTTTGGTACTAACTCTATAATTTATAATCTAAATACTAATATCTTTCTATGCTGGTTTTGAGAAGATTATAAAAATCTGTTTCTATTCTCTCTGAATTAATCCTTAGCTTAATTAGACGTTAAAACATGCAGTATGAGAATTATAAGGCGAAGAAGGATCCCGAACACGAGCGCAGGCACAGAGTGGAGGAGGAGATAGCTGCAGTGGCAGCAGTGGGCGGTGCAGGGTATGCTTTGCATGAGCATCATGAGAAGAAAGAGGCGATTCAGGAAGGCAAACGCTATTATTACAACTACTAGCTAGCTTAAGTAAGCTGTTCTTATGATGGAGATCTGGCAAGTATTTCTAAATAAATCATGGCTTCTGTCCTTCTATGTCATGTGGCTTGGTCCTGTATAGCCTTATCAATGGGAATAAAAGTTAACATGTTCTACCTATGATGGAATGCTCAGATTATATAAATCTTTCTCATATAAGCTTGAATGATTTCAAGAAATTAAGTATACAGACTATGGAAGGGATTTGAGTCAAATTTGTGAGTAGTTGATGATGTTTCGTATTGATTGGTAAGCTACTGAAGCAGAATTATACTAAAAGAAGAAGAAGAAAATCAGAATAATTTCTCTTTTCTGGACTTCTCCCAGAATGGAACAGCTACAAGAAAAACTTCTTCCCACCCTCCTACGTACAGGCAGCACCCAAGAGGGGGAAAATTATTAGGTCCGGTTTCCAGATTTGTCCAGACATCAATCGATACGCGCCACATCACCCAAATACACCCGGGACCCAGTGTATCCGGATGATTAGTGTCCGGACGATCCGGTGACCGGACGTAATTTACCGAGAGGGAGGGTAGCTGCTTATTTTTCACTACGCCACGCAAATAAAAAATCAGTCCAACCTCCCCTTTGGGCACCTTCTAAAAATATGTAGTGGAGTGATATGAAGAATAACAAAAATTATAACAGAAGATCAAAATAGGTGTCTTTGAAATAAACATGCCTGTGCAATTTGTCTGCATAGTTTTATAAGACTCTAGAATTTACCGATACTCTTCTAGTCTTCTTAAAGAGGTGCACAGTGTAAGAGAAGGAGAAGGAAAAGAGCGGGAAAGCCAGAGAGGAGACGGAGACAGAGAATTAAGGAAAATAGAAATGTATATATTTTTGTATTATTGAATGTGGTGCTCGTGAATTTGCCGCCGTCATCTGAGCGGAAGTGCTTGGGGGTAACTGAAAATTGTTTTTGTATCATGGTTATAAATGTTTTAAAACAGGGGAGAGTTTCACATTTAGTTTGCAAGAAGTAAATCCAACTAAATCGAGTAAAATCATCAATGAAGATGACATAATATCGAAAAATACTAGAGCAAGACATAGAGATCGATCCCCATACATCCGAGTGGATTAACTCAAACAGATGTGATGTTACAGTTTAGCTATAGCTAAACTTTAATTTGTGGCTTTTCGCCATGTTACAAGATTGACATTTAAAGTCTGAAGAAATGTGAGGTATAGTAGAAGTGTTGGAGCCAAGATTGTTAAAGATCTTGTTGTTCGGATGCCCAAGGCGGGCATGCCATATGGACGGAGACGTGGTGGTCGCCTGAAGAGCTTGCTGGCAGTGACCCGGTTCAACCCGAATCTGGTAGATGTCATTATGCAGATGACCACGAAGGAGGAGCTGCTGATCTTGAACATCCTTAATTTCAAAGCCATTAGAATCAAAGGTAACAGATACGGCGTCATCTTTAGTCAATTTGGATACATAAAGTAGATTGTGAGTGAGTGCGGGGACGTGAAGAAGATGACAGAGACGAAGCTTACGGTGTGTTTGGTAGAGGGAGCAAACCTTGACCGTAGTTTTGAATAGGAATAATAGAGCCGCTGGCGGTCGAAAATGAATCTTGGCCATGGTAGACAGAGGGATTTTGGATGGACAAGCTGTCGACAGTCATGTGTGAGGTGGCGCCCGAATCCATTACCCATGTTTGAGTGGTGTCCGAGTTTGGTTGAGCGAGAAAGGCACGCGGAGCAGAGGAGTTGGACGGGGTGTAGTTCAGGTTACACCTGTACCAGCAATTGACCGCAACATGACCAATCTTGCTGCATATTTGGCAGATTGGTCGATTACCTGATGTGTTTGGCGGGGTGGTTGATTGATCTGAAGTGGTGGAGGTTTTGTTTGGATTTGTGCGGAACTTGAAGTTCTGTTTAGAGTTCTTGGACCGGTTTTGGCTGGAATTGGTCGTGTAATAGGCAGCTGTAGTCGGAGATTGTTCTTTCTTGATGTCTGATTGACATGGATTTCTTCGCTACAAAGGAGCGAGTAGAGAGCGTCAAGGTCGGCCGGTAACAGGGAAGAGCGAATGTAAGTCTTGATGGAGTTATAGCTGGCCGGTAGACCATTTAATATGTGAAGAATGATATCTTTCGGATCGACGGTGCTTCCCGAAGCGGCGATGGTATCAACGATGTTCTTTACTTTAGCCAAATATTGCTGCATTGTGGAGGTGTTCATTTGAATGTGATGCAACTCATTCTTGAGTTGAATGATTCGGGAGCGGCTCGACGATTGTAGTCTTCTTTCAAGAATTGTCCAGACGTCGTGAGCCGTCGAAGAGGTGATGACATAAGGTAGAATTGTTGTGGAGATAGTAGAAAATAAAGCAGAGATGAGATTGCTATCGATAAGACGCCACTGGGCGTACTCGGCGGAGCTTTGGTCCGGCGGGGGACTCGTTTTGCCGAGAGGTGCTGAAAGATCTGCGACCTCCACAGAGCATAGTTGTCGGACGTCAAGGATTAGGAGATCAGGTTCTTGATGTTGGATATGATGAATTTGAGGGTCGGCGGAAGAACGAGCTCGGCGGTGGCGGTGGAGAGCATGGTAGATGCAGGGGGAGGGATTAGGATGATTCTTGATCCCCCATCTAGCTTACTGATACCATGTAAGAGAAGGAGAAGGAAAAGAGCGGGAAAGCCAGAGAGGAGACGGAGACAGAGAATTAAGGAAAATAGAAATGTATATATTATTGTATTATTGTAGCTGTAAACAGGGTATTTATAAGAGTTGTAATAGAAGTGTTTCGGACAATAGATCTGGGACTAATACATTAATGCTTGTGCTTACACACAATACATGTATCGCGTCCGACATTCTTCCGATACGTGTAGAATAATTAAGGTTAAAGACAGCAACAGTAAAGAAGAGTATGTATTTATTCTATTTAATAGATGAGCTACAGTAGCATTTATATAGAGAAAAGATATTTCCGAAAACAGACAAAAAGCCGTCGAAAATTAGTATTTATATGTGGATTTCTAGCTGTAAAATACATGTCGGAAAAGTGCTACCCATGCAAAATAATCAACCAGAAAAATTTCCGATTGAAATACTCTTCCAGTAATATTTCCAGCGGCATTTTCCGTTAGGAAAAAAAAAACACTCTAAAGATCAAAATAATTAATTTAATTTAACAAGAATTATTAAATTAATTAATTAATTTAAAAATATTTAATTTTATAATAAATTATTAAATTATTTAACTTAATTTAACAAAATAAATAATAACAAATATTTATTATAGCCATTTTTTAGAAAGATTATATTTAATTTCCGTTGAAAATTCGCCGAAAATTTCGTTGGAAAGCCAATCAAATATTCGGCCAGAAAATTCGAAATTTTTTAACAAATTTATTTGTGCCGAAGATTCTATTGGAAATTAGTTTTTTTTCCTATAGTGACGACTTACTCCCTACTTAGGGAAGTAGCCAACTTCACCATCTACATGCTTACTAACTCTTCAATCATCATAGGCATGCATTGGACCTTAGCAGTAAACTGCCTTACCAACTAGAAAGTCATCTTCTTCTCCACTACGCGCATCATTTGGGAAACTCCATGTATCAAGATCGTTGCATCGATGAGCTTTGAATCAAGTGAACCAGCTTTAATGCAAATCCGACTGGCAAGGTTCTCAATGATGATTCCATCAATGGCATTAAAGAAGGCTAGAATGTGGGTTACAAAGTGGTGTTCATCCGATTTGAGGGATTGATCCCACCAGTAGTGGAGATCTTGGGAGAGGTCGATTTCTTTTGCTATCTAGAAGGAGGCTTCAGCCTTCTTATAAATCTCCCAAATATGAGGGTAGCACACCAGGAATATGCAGAAACGATTGGGATTTAGGGAAATGTGGGGCCCTTCGAGTGGAGAATTTGATGGCATATACAACAGTTCTTCAACAACTCGTTCCTTGCTCTGTTCAACTCCAGCACACGCACAATGGCTGATCATCCCGACCCAAGAAAGCACGCACGCACATAGTTCCTGTTCACTCTCTCTCTCTCTCTCTCTCTCTCTTGAACCTCTTCTTCACCCAATTCAGCCCCCAAGTAGGCTTTCATGGAAGCCACATGAAGAAGAGACCACAAAGGGGAAGTACTCTCACTTACTATGCTGCCTAGATGCACACGAGCAGGATTATAATGTAAGAACTTGCTCTCCCTCTCTCACGCTCTTGTTTTTAAAGAAGAACTGAATGCCTTGCTCTAATATCATGTTAAATCCAGAGATTTAGAGAGAGAAAATATTTAATTTTATTACACAAAACTAACTAAATTTATAGACCTATACAATTATTTTATTAAAGAAATACATAATTATAGAATAATGCATAATTGTCCTAACATAATCCTTCCTAAATCAATCACATGAATATGGAAGGAGATCAACATGATCCTGTTGAGTCTCCTACTGATCTCCATCCTAGCCGTGGGATTAAGGGCTAAGGGACGATTGAGATTTAACAACATAATCTAGATGAGCCTCCCACATATCCCCATGCTATCTATGGGATCAAGGGCTAAGGGACGATTATGAGTTTAACAAAGCCATCATGCAATTAAAATTTAGAAGTGCCAAGAGCTGAAGAGTGCAGTCCTTGGCCCACATGTTCATCATTGTGCTCTGATACCATAAGCTACAATTCTGCACACAAAGCTGTAACATATTGAATAATGCCATCATCCAATTAAAATTTGGAAGGGCCAGCCGATTTCACTAATTGAAGAGCATTGGCAAAGTAAGGTTTAGCCATATAGAGATCACAAAAGGCATCCAAACATGGCATTGTATAGCACATCTGAGCTCGACAATATTGTTTGCAACTTAAAAATTCACAACATGATGTAGTGTGCCAGCTTTCACTACAGGAAAATCATTGATTTCCAGCGGCCACGTTTCCGGCTGCTTTCCGGTGATTTTCCGGCGGTTTTTTCCCACGAAAATTTTCGGCGGCTTTTCAGGCAGCTTTTTCAATTTTCAGGCGGCTTTAAAAAATTTAATGAAAATGAATAAAATTTTAAGTAAGCGGGGCGCAGGCGCCGCGGGTAAGCCCGGGAGCGCGGGAGCGGGCGCAGGAATAAGTTACAAA